TGTGACTAATTAGATAAAATATGGCTATAGGGAAGGGAACTACCCAAAACAAGAAGAGACAAAATCCATGGAAATCTGAAAAATGTGCAGCAGTATTTTTGAAGGGTATACTTTATCTTCTGTTACAGGTCCTTCTTCAGCGGATCGTGTGGCCAGAAGATGAAGATGATGACTGTCCTCTTCAAACTAAATGCAGAATCACAGGCGACATGAGGCATTTTATTCTAAATGGTATGTTTGCCATTTTGCAGGAGGGGAATACCAATATTATTGCAATGTTAAAAATATATTGGTTGGATTTTTTTCGAGGTTGTTAAACCTCATATTTTTTTTTCAAAGGTCAATGCTTAACTATATACTTTCTTTTTCTTCACAGCAACACCAAGTGAGCTGACAAATCTAAAATTCTGGACTGGATGGGAGATTGTGCCAAAAAGTCTCACAGTGGAGCTAGTAGATGGCAGACATCCAACTGCTGCCACCTGCTATGAGACCTTGCGCATTCCATACCACTACAAGGACTATTTAACTTTTAAGGAAGACCTCATTGCCTGCTCTGAAACCTGCCACTCAGGGTTTGGACTCATTTAAGTCATTCCAATAATGCAAGGTAGTGGTGTACAAGTCTCTGTTTAAGATTTGGAATATAAATGTTCACATCTACTGGGCCTCTCTGATGCCATTTACTCTGTGCAGGCAACATTGGTTCTTGGTTCAGTTCTCGGTTGAAAATCCCTTTAAGTAAGATTGACTTACATTGCTGTTTTAATTTTGAAACATTCCAACCATCAGCCTTCAGTCAAATATTGCTTTACAACATAACATTCAAACTGACAAGCAGTTTCTATTTAGTTTTCTGAGTGAATCAATATTTTTAAGTTCCCTCTCTCCTAATTCTTCAGTATTTACATTACGAAGCTTTACTAAAAATTGTTACTTATAGCGAAGTTTATAGCTTGAAACAGTTGGTGAACCCTGTGTAATCTCAGATTTCAGCACAATTTGAAGATCAGATCCCATTTCATGACCAAAGTCACAATAATCAGAACTGCTTATACACAATTATGTTAATGAAAACACCATGAAAATTCTTTGAGTTGGTTTAGTTTAAGCAGACT